AGTAAAGCAGTCTTCTTAGAACAGATAGAGCTTAGTAATCTTCGGCAGAGAGACGCCGTGCTGGCGTGCTGCAGGCAGGGGAGGAGACAGTCAGAGTAACCGCATCCATGAGAGAATGCCCACGCTCCTGACTGCCTTCTCCTCCAGCCTAATATAAGGCTGAGCTCATGCCTCTCAGCACCACAGGTGTAGAGATCGCCAATTCACCAATGCTCTCATCTCGCGAGCTCACTTATGCTTGTTAGAACCAAATCTCTCTCCATGCCCTTTTCATCAAGGTCTTCCATACAGGTATTTCCTATAACTCTCACTCCTCCTAGCCAGAGGCTATACGGGCTACTACAGATGGGGTGGCAGGAGTCTGGGTAAGAATGGGTTATAAACACAGGCGTTTGAGGTTTCTGTGAGCTATGATACCGTGGCCCTCTATCTCAAGGGTAGCAAAGTGAGACAGTGAAAAAAACATGGGTTATGGAATTATAATTTGGAATTTGCATGGGGAGAAGCAATATTAATGTTGTCTCCTAGATTCTAGAGTGTGGGGAATAAAGAGAGCGATCCTTTGAAAGGACAAAGGGACTCAGCAGGAAGCCATATCCCCATTGTATTAGTTTTGTATGGCTGGTGTGATTACCACAGACTAGTGGATTAAAACAATGTAATTTTTTAATCTCATTGTTCTGTGAGTGAAAAGTCCAAAATGAGTCTCAATGAGCTAAAAGTGACATGTCAGCAGGACTATGTATCCTCAGAAGGCCACGGAGGGAGAATTGACTTCCCTGTCTTTTCAGGCTTCTGGAGAGCTCCCTCGTCCCTTTGTATGGGTCATTGCTCCATCTTCAGAGCCAGCACTCATGGGTCTGTGTCACTCCAGTCCCTCTACTTTCACCGTCACATCTTGTCCCTTTAAGTTCCCATGTAAACATATTGAGCCCACCTGGATAAATCAGGGCAGTCTTCCCAGCCCCAAGTCCTTAACTCAGGCCCATCTGCAAAGCCCCTCTGCCAAGTAAGGTAATACAGTCACAGGTTATAAGAATGATGACAAGGATCACTTTGAGGCTTTATTATTCTGCCTATTATGGAAACTATGACTCAATTCAGGCGAAAGGTTTTAGAAGCATGTTGCAAATTGAGTGTGATGTTAGATTTATTTGCTGCGAAATCAAGATTTCAGAAGACAAGGTGACGAGGTTTGAGAGGAGCAGCAAAATTGGGTCAGAAACCTGGTTTAGTATTCATATGATCTCTGATGGAAATGATCTTTCTGAACTAGTTCCTGCAATAATCCTTTCAATGTTACACCTGTTATCCAAGATAGTTAGAATGTTATTCTAAGAAGTTAGAATTAGGTTTTTTTGAGTATGTTCATTTAAGAGGCAAACTCCAGGTTTGACTGGCCTAATTATAGATTTTTTTTTTTTTAGAAATGTCACAAAGCATTGGTTTAGTATATGTGGAAGATCAAGTTCTTATTCCACTATCACTTGTTTAGCTATTCTAAGCTGTCAGCCAAATATGCTTTAGGCCATGATTGCACATAATGTGCTTATATAAACTTTAAGGTCACTCACATTTGTCACAGGCAGCTGAATGGTTGTGATGACATTATTAATAGTTGTATCAAGAATTGAGGCTAGGTTCAAAAAAATTTAAGGTAAAGTTGTGTATAATTATAGCTATACTGGAATCTTAAGGCTCTCATGAAAAGTGTCATCCCTTTACTAGCTTTTCCTGTCAAATGTTACTGTACTAAAATCATAACAGCTCATGCTATAAAACAGGTCAACATATTGTTATAACTTTGCTTTTTACCATATGTTTGAGTAAATTAAACAAAGATATGTTAAGCTTTTTAAAGACATACCCTTATTCCACTCCTATAGAAAGATATGATATGTTCTGGTTAATAAAAAGAAATATGAATCTTTCTGTGCTAGGTGACAACGTTGTAATGAGGTGATTTAAATGCTCATCTAACAGGCATCCAAGTTTGGGGACAAGGTCAAAGAATACCTGTGAAAAGGATAAGACAAGGGAATTACAAAACTTGTTCAAAGGAACCGCTATATTGTTACAAATATTATAGTCTTCAAAATACACAGTAGTGTCCAAACTTCAGAAGTATCACAGTTAGCAATCTAAGCTGATACTGTCTAGCATTTCTGTGTTATTTCACTGCTAGAATATTACTAACCATATGTCATCCTGGATGAACGGAATGAATGTGTCCTCTAAAGACTTGGACTTTTCTTCCTTCATATATAAAGAAAACGGTACTTATTTAAAGCAGTGATGCTCCAATAGTTTGTCTTTAAAATAAAAAAATCATTTGTGGGCTAAAAAATTAGGAACTAGGGAACACATACATATTCAAAATTAAAATGATACGGCTACTTTTAAGGTTTGCAAAATGCAGATTTTCAGCAGTGATATAAACGTAGACCAGACAGTTTCCTTGTTATTTTAAAATGATTGGTGGTGAAAACTAGGGGAACAAGTCATCAAATAAATGGGAGCTAGGTATTTGAAATCTTCTGGAGACAAGTGAGAAGGCTCAGTCAAGGTGCATCCGAGTTTTGACCAGAGGCACCAACTTGAGAATGTTGCGTCCTCAATAGTGGAGGCGCATGTTCTCAGGGTTGGGTCTGAAGTTTTATAGAGGAGTGAGTCTTTCCCGGGCTTACAGAGATTTACATATTGCCCAGAATTGTGCCTCATAGATAGCTAAAAATTTCAGGATGATTCTGTGTCCACTTAATTGCTTTCAAAATGTCAGGGTTACAGATTTCTTGGCAAATACAGTTTCCTGTTGACTCAGTCACTTCTTGTTGAAAGTTGAACATGCTGCTATGTCAGATACTTGATGGCACAGATGCATACTGAAACTCGGAAGTCAGTGATAGCCTCGGGAGCCTACCTTATGTTTTCCACTTACAAAATCCTGTGACTTTTCCAAGAAATTCTATGTTCATTTCCATCATCCAATTCTGCAGTTGTAAAAATTCTGGGATTCTCTTGATCTTAGAATTCTTTTAGTTTGCATTTTCTATTTGTTTCATGCACTTGACTGTTTAAATCAGGCGTCCTCAAACTACAGCCCATGGGCCACATGCAGCCCACCTAGGACATTTATCCAGCCTGCCGGGTGTTTTTGCGGCCACTGTCTGTCCTGCTTAGCACCCAATTCGTCTTGGGGCCCGCAGTCCGGCCCTCCAACAGTCTGAGGGACAATGAACTCATCCCCTGTTTAAAAAGTTTGAGGACCCTTGGTGAATGTATTTTGCATCCTTGAATAAGCAATGCAACTTGTTTGGCTCTTGTCATTTCAATTTTGGTGTTTAAGGTGTCTAATTATATCCATTAGATAGAATGACCTCATCAGTTATTAGAGAAAGTCAAAAATGGATTTAAACTATAGAACATCTTGATTTAAGAAGCTCATTGTCTCCTTATTAGCTTTCTGTGACTTTGCCATTGACTATAGTAGCCAAATATTTATAATTAGCTTTCTGTGACTTTGCCATTGACCGTAATAGCCAAATATCATGACACATATAGCACGTCTATTATCCACATTTTACAAAGTAGCATGACTCAGGGGCAAACAGATTCTACATTCACACACTTGGTCCCTGCTTCCTGCTCCTCCATGTAATGCTGTCGGTCTCTTTTGCAAATTTAGGTGAAGCTCTTTCAGCATGAATATGAGCTTGGCAGAGCTAATTCTTTTTCTTTTGGACAAAATTTTCTTGTCATTGCAAATTTTTGTCTATTAGAAATGAACACAAATATCTCTCAAGTTATTTACTGTCATTTATGTATTCCCTGGATTTGTGTATCATAGCTAAATAAACTTTGTGGCTTAAATGTCAAGTTAGCCACATGTCTGGCCCAGGAGGCCACATTTGTTCTACAGGGTATGTTTCACATGAAGGAATGAGACTGGAGAGTAATAGTGGCTGAGTAAGATTAGCATTTGGAAAATATTTGAAAGAGCAGGATTAGATGGGGATTCTAAAATATCATAGAAAGGAAAGTGTGCTAAATATGAATGGTAAGACAAAGGCAGGCCTGATGATTGGAATAAATGAGGTGAGTAGTAAAGTCAAGGTCAAACTTGAAAGATGTGCACTCCACTCTCAGAAGTTACCCATGACTTTAGGATTGTTGTACGTTCATGATTCACAGATGGGCAGTTTTCCCCATAGATGAGCAATACTAACCATGGTCCATTATCCATTAGGTTTTTTCCTACAAAATTTTAGGTAGTGATTTTTATTGTTTTTCTAAAGTACTTTTATAGCATACTTGATGGAGATTAATTATATTTCTAATGAGAATTTTTAAATCTGAAATCTACATTTGGTTCTGTGCTTGAAATAAGAGCCAATAATATAGTTTGTGGAAATATTTGTATGAAGCCAGATACTAAAATTAAAAGTGTGCATGACATTTATGCATATATATTGCAGTGATTACACATCGTTCTCTAAATTATTCAACCTTGAGGTTTATGCAAAGAATATGTAATAATTTAAATGATTGAAAATAAATATTTCAAATTATGGAGAGCAAATTTTATTCTTTTCCAAACTATTCAAGGAAATCATTAATGGCATTTCTGGAATAAAAACTCAAATCTGTTTTTAACATTCAATCTCTTGGTAATCTTTTTCTAGCAAATTTCAATTCCTTTGAAATATTTAACTGATACATCTTAGAATAATTAATCCTGTCTGATCAAATGATAAAAATTGTTAATTTCTTTTATTTCGTCACCATAGTCACCTATACATTTTTTGGGATAGAGAGAACTCATATGGATCTGTAAAATCCATATTATTGATAAAAGTCAGATTGTTTCCAAATAAATTGATGTTATTGGTGCCCTTTTGAAAATGTGTTTCTAAACAATCAGCTTAATATGTTTTATCTGAGCAATTGAGTTATTATTAAAGGTGGCACATTTACAATAGCTTTTCTGGTTTTCTTTCAAGGATCCTCTGTTTCACCTGGACTCACACAGATCTGAGAGAGGAAGGGGCAGATGTCCTTTTGACCCCAGCTCCTCCTTCAGCTCCAGTTTAATTGGTAATTATTGTGGCTGCAGACATCAGGTGGTAGTCATAATGATTTTGAAACTTATTTTTCAACTTCAGTTACATTGTTTCGCTATTTCTTTATATACCCTGCCTTCTCCTATCTATTTACTAGTGCAGGAAGCAATGATATTCTATCTCAAGCCATGCCAACTTGAACAATTTGACTCTAAAATAAGTGTGGATGCTATGAAGTATGTGTGTCTCATTCTGAGAAAACAAATTGTCACTTAATACCCAATTAAGACATTTTGTATGGTGCTATTTACTGCTTACAAAATGCCAGAGAAATGAAGCTGTTTTAATATACGTCAATTCTTTATGTGTAAAATACTTTGTGACTTTAGAGAACTTTCGGTCTTTTTGGTAAATTTCACTGTTACCAGAATTGAGCAGAAAAAGGTGTCTCTGTTGAGACTCCAAATTTGTTTAAATGGTTATTCCACAATGTAAACCAGAGGGGTTAACCAGCTCAAACTATCACTACATGTACGTGTTGAAGTAAAGGAATAGATTGACAATGTCTGATCTCGATTTCAATTTGATTGAATTTAACTATGAGTTATCTAGGAGCCTTACTTAAGACACAATGGGACACTTTGTCTTTTATATTATTTGTGATTGAAAATGACACACTTGTCAAAGCATTCTAGCACTGTGACAGCACAGACAGGTAGATGAATTCCTAGTATTGAAGACAGCAATCCCCAACCCCTATCCTGTTTGTTAATAGACATGGTTTTTCCCTCAGCCGTGAGTCTGATATAGGTAGTACACAGAGAGGCGTGTTTCTGTTACATTTACAGTGTTTAGAGATATATGCTAATATTAGTATATGTCATGTTTTCAGAAAATGAGAAAATCAGACAGATTTCCCAGTCTAAATAAACTCTTAAATCTTCAAACTCCCAACTGAAGTTTAAAATGTTCCGCCTGATGTAGAGTCAATACAGAAGCGACGGTGTATTTTCCCTCCCTTATTACAGACCTTGGATTTTGATGAGCTTTGCATTTTACTCCCTGGACTCCCCCATCCCAATTCCAGTACTCAAGTCCAAAAAGTAAAGCATTTAAAAATATGTAGAAAAATGTTCATGTTAGCTCTAATTAATAGGAAACATTTGGCTTCACTTTGGCTGCCTAAATAGGCAAGACTATAAAGTAAGAATTTCACATAATTGTGTTGTTGTAAAAATAAGTTATTCATAGACTTGAAGGTAAAATGTTTAAAAAACAATTTTGAAGAAAATTATTTTGAAATCATTTGTGTGCACATCCATGCACGCCCACAGGGTGTCTGTGTGTGGAAGGACAGTAAGGAAAAGAGACTTTAAACATGAGAACAGAATTGCTTAGTTAAATTAGAGGAAATCAACACCTGAGAAATGACACTTCTGATGAATTTCAGATCCATAAATGGAGAGAATATGACCTAAATCTGTACATCTGTTAGACTCATACAATCTTTTTCTAAAGTCTTTAGTGATTTTGGCTACTTAGTCTATTTAAGATTTTAATATGCCTGAAGACAGACTTTTTCTTTCATGATATCATATCTTGCACAGAATCGGCCAGTAAACTTTGAACGAAACACTCATTGAGGTTCTTAAACACACAAAAAATAAACTAGGGACTATTTCCCATAAGAACATAAAGTTGGAAGTTAAAAATTACACAATCTACAGAGCCTGTCTAGTGAAATCCTAAGGGATATTAGAAAATCCATTATTTTTAACATTTCATTGAAATGGTTAAAATTAATTTCTATAGCCACTGTGATATTCAGCCCTCAGCTTCCCTGGAGCTTGTTTATGCATGAATCCAGGAATTTAAAACTGAAACTTTTAAGAAGCGAAATATTACTGAAGGGACATTTCTAAGTGAGTTTCATTGAACTTGCAAATCAAATTACATTACGCTGAAATGTGAAGTGCTTCCCATCTGGGTGGGTTGTTTCGCTTATTCAGAAGAGAAATCAAATCAAAGGAGCCCTCCAAGCTAAACAGGAAAGTTAGAGAATAATCCCTCCAAAGAAGGGAAATAAAAATATAATTCTTCACATTTATCCACTCACTTTCATCCCAAAGTACCTTGGAGAGATCATTGATTCACTGTGGAAATGCGGCAGCCACTGGAGGGAAACCTGATAACCTATATGAGCCAGAAACCTTCAAAGCAGGGAAGGGAAAATAATTCCCCCCGTTGAAAAAGCAGCAGGAATGTCAGCTGCAAAAATGGAGCTACCTGAGTTGGAATTTGGCGAGCTCGAGGCAGCTTACTGACAGAAAAAGAATGTGCGCGTATTAGCCTGGTATTTTATGACCGCACAAGCTCTCTGTGATGGGGGAAGACAAGACCCCAATAAAGACGGCTATCTGTAGGCCATCGCTGCTTCTGTGTTTTTCTGTCAGGTCATACATGTTTAAGGCTCGCTCACAGGGAGACAAATGGAATGATGAAACATTAAAGTCAGGTGCAATACTCAAAACGACAGGCCTCGAAGGAATAAAGCAGATTGTACCAATAGGAGAATTTCCTATATAATTTCTTAACTTTAGATGTAATTTTAATTCAGTTGCCTTAAATTCAGTTGACTTAAGGTAAAAGACTATTGAAAATTTGAATAAATATTAGCAGTTATTTGATAGGGGAAAGATAAGTTCATCGACATTTTTAAATTAAAGTCACATTCTAATTTAGAAAAAGTTAATAACTAAGGATTCAATGTGAAAAGCATTTAAAGAGTAAAGGAAGTTTCTGAGCTATGTTCTGTAAGTTCAGAAACCAATTGAAAAGAAGTCATATTAAGTAGCCTTGCTCTGAAATGCCTGCCACTTTGTAGTAACATATCTTGGTGGCATATAAATTTATGCCTCAGATAGAATATTTCTGCATATTTAGGCACGTTTCCCCCCAGTGTGATTACTAATACTGTGATAAAGTGGTTTAAGTAGTGGGGCATGGTGGCTCATACCTGTAATCCTAGCACTTTGAGAGGCCGAGGTGGGTAGACCTCCTGAGGCCTGGAGTTTAAGACCAGCCTGAGCCATATAGCAAGACCCTGCACCTACAGAAAGATGAAAACTTAGCCAGGTATGGGGGCACAGGCCTGTGGGCCCAGCTTCTCGGGGTGCTGAGGCAAGAGGATCACTTAACCCCAGGAGTTTGAGGCTTGCAGTGAGCTTTGATGATGCCCCTCTGGATTGGTGGATAAAGCCAGACCTGCTCAACATTTAAATTTTTTAAAAGTGGTTTTTTAAAGTCGTGATCTGAGGACTACAAAGCATTACAACCTGGTTTTAAGAATACCTAGTTCAGTGAATTTTTCAGTAAAACAAATTGTTGCACTGCTTTCCTGTCTTCCAAATTATCCAAGATACCTGCTACTTATTTTTTCAAAAATCAAGATTAGTGACAGTCCCAATTGAAATCCAGGAAGTATATTATTTCATATGTCACTTTGGCCAAAATGAAAATATTTGTTGTCTCATGTTTGATATAACATTATAATTCTCATTCAATTGAATATCTTCAGTGACTTTAAGGTCCCTGATACTTGCTCCTTTCAATGCATTTGTCATTTTTCCCCCCACTTTATTTTGGCCCATAGCTGTGTTGCCAGTTCCTGATGTAATTTCATCCCGCCGGGCCTGAATGTGATCTGAATGCACGTTGCCAGTGCTTGGGAGGAAAAAAAAAATCACTCGGATCTGTTCTGCATCTCTTGACGCTTTGCTTTGAAAGTGTTAACTCTGTGGAAATAATTTAGGGATATTTTAAGCAAATGACCACTAGTAAGATATTTTATACCCCATAAAATTTGTCCTGGTATGTTGTTCAGTGTTACAATTAAAACTGCAAAGTTTACACCCACTAAAATCATCTTCCTGAAATTTCTTGTCTTAATAAGACCTTTGTGAATATATATCCTCATTACATATTCTGGAAATTAAAAGGCAGTGTTGACTGAAAGTTGAAATACACACAGGGAACATTTAAGTGATTATTACAAGTTCTTAATAACAGAGCTTTTTAAAATATGTTTCCTTTTAATTAACTACATTAATATTCAGGAATATAAATGGCATAAAGATTAGAAGAGTACATAAACCCTAAATGAAGTCAGACTACACGTATGTGTCTTTATAATCACGACCTCCACATACACAAGTGAATGTGCTGACTTACTTTGTGAATTCACCCCGGCCATATAAAAACCTAGACTTCAAGTTATTCCCTCACTACATTCCCGTCCCTAAAGAATATCTACAATTTCTTGTCCAATATTGCTGTTCTCACACTTGGCCGAGGGCTCATTATCCACACGCTTACTGTAGCTTCTGGATGTGACTGCTTGTCCCCAAGGAGCCGTCTGAACACTTTGTTTATGCTTTCCGCTCAAGGGAAAAGCAAGAATGACTATGCTCCACTCTCCAATTATATTCTCTGCCTGAGAATCTGGCCTAACTGTGATGGTATCCATGTCACTGGTTTGTACCAAGAAAATTCAAGAGTATAGCTATGAGTGCCAGCAAATGCAAATAAACAGACTCGTTTTTTTTTTTCCTTCACATCTCAAAAATTACCTTAATATAACAAATACGACAATAGCGTTTTGAAGAGTTAGCCTTAAGACTAATTATCATGCCATTAGCTTAAATCTTCATGATGGTCCCCACCCTGCAATGGGCTCCCAGAGAGGCCCAGGGGACCTCCTGCATGTGCAGTAAAACTCAGTGGTTCTGAGGTGACCCGTGAACCGTGAGGTAGGCCTGACCCATTCGGTGTAAAAGAACCACTGGCCATAAACATTGCCTCTTGGCTGCTTTGCCTTCTTGCCATGGTAATGGAGGCCGGTTAGCGTCCCTCTGTGGTGAGGCTGGCTTACTCTGTGAACTTTCTTACTCTGTCAATCTATCTTTTCCTCACTTTGTTTTATGCTTTCAAAAATATGCTAATTATTTGGCAAATCAAAACAACCCCAAAGTCCAA